TGACCCATGTAAATGATGGTCAGCAATTTTATTCAATAAATTGCCTTTTAAAGAAAGAAATTTCGTCATGTTTTCCAAGTTATACTGGAAAAAGTGAGGAGAAAGTGAATGTTATTGCCTGCTGGTTAAGTATTTATTGCGCCTAGCTTAATATTCTTAATGACGTGTTTACAACGGGGCAAAGACATTCATAATCAAAATCGGAAATGTCACAGACAAAATATGTTCATTACAAAACGTCTAAATTAGAAGTTCTTTTGCATTACGAGACTTCATCAGACATAATGAGCGATAAACATAGTGAATGACTGTAAAAACTGACATGAGTATGATCAGGCACGTAGCCAGAGTTCGATGTTTGGGGGGGGGGGGGGGGCACATACGTGTAATCGATCGAGGTCAAAAAAGGGGTCTAAAAAAGTTCAACCGATCTTGGAAATTTTAGGGGGCACGTGCCCCCCCCCCCCCCCCCCCCCCCCCCCCGTGGCTACGTGCCTGAGTATGATAAATGACTATGTTGGACTATAATGGAATCACTTCAAATGTTCTAATCATTCTACTTTTGATGAGCTTTATCATTTCTATCCATAGAACAGGAAATTATATCATAACTTCGACTGCATTCTTAAGAGAAAACAAGTCTGATACATCAAGATTATTAAAAGCTATATTATTTTAATTGATAGGACAGGAAAACTCAGGGGCGGTGGGGCGTCTTTAACAGTTGGTTCACCAACACAAAAGGAACAGTCTGGAAAAAAGGGGGACTCACAAAGGGAAACCTCAAAGCGAAAATATATCCTTTATATACCCTACATTTTCAAGATTGTGATAACATTGTCAGGGATGATTTCAATACTTGGCTTATCTCTTTACATGGTCCAAAAAAATACTTATAAATAAGCATCATACTTGCAGTTGGGTGTGATGGTCTGAATATCCATTTGCGAGCAATCGATCGAAAAGGGGCACTTACCAAGAAAAAGGGACATATATAAAAAAAAAAAAAAATTATAATAATTACAAAAATCATGATGAGTTTTGAACACAATTTAATCATGAAAGAAGACCTTAACTATTAACATAAGTACATCAATTATGAATGCGAGCAAGCTTTGGTGGAAATGAAAGAAAGGGTTGCTCTATCTCGTTCTAAATCAGGGGTGCAATTATTACAAAGGAAAAGGCGCACTTGTCAAAGTAAAACGGGCACCTCTTAGATTTGAATAGGGGAAATTATTAGAAGTGGAGGGGGCACATATCAGGAGTGAAAAGGGATACTTCTCGCACCTGAAAAGGGGCACTTACCAGATATGAAAAAGGACACTCATTGGAGAGGAAAAGGGGCACTTGTCGAAGGAAAATGGGCATTTCAGATTTTTATATGAGCATTTTGTCAGTGTTGAAAAGGAGCATTTATGAAAAGGGGAAGGGAATCCTTATATAATAAAATGGGGGACTTGTCACAATAAAAAGGGACATGTATCAAAGTAAAATGGGCATTTATCAAAAGGGAAAGGGGCACTTTTTAAAGGAAAAAAAGGGGCACTGGACAAAGTAAAAGAAAGCCCTTTTCCTTAGTATAAATGAACACTTTGCCTTTTTAAAAAGGGGTACTTTGGGGTACTTATTTGGGAAGACTATATTATATCATTTATTTAACTGTGTTAAAAATTGTTTGTTTTTTCGTCGGACAATCGCAATCCTGAAAATAATCCCGAATAATTATCTCGGGGTTATTCGTTTTTACGAAATGTTCTTTCTACTAGAAGTTCATTATTCCGAAGGTTCTATCATGTAATTTTATTTTCGGAATTGTGAATTTTCGAAATTATTGATCTTCGTTTTCAAATTTGTGAACCTTTTTTCTTTTTTTCCTCAAAATTATGAACCTATTTTCATTTTCGAATTAAATACCCTATTTCATTTTCGGAATTATGAAATCTTTTTTTATTTTCGGGATTACGAACCTTCCGAGATGATATTTTTCGGAATGACGAACCCCTAAACAAAATGACCAGTATAAACCAGTTTACCACCCGATCAACTAGCCCTGGCGAATAAAGTTCACCCTGACCAACAAAATGATTATCACCCTACGACTTTCAAATCCAAATTTCAAATCCATATGACACGCCGGCCCAGACATCTGGAACTCCCTGCCCATTGTAATAAGAAACCTTAGGATATTGTATTTATTTAAGAAGGCAGTTAAAACTAAGTTATTGTCTAAGTATTGATCCTGTCGTGTGTAATTGTACTATATTTATGTTCGAGTGTTATATTGACTGTATATTCAACAATGATGTGTAATCGTCCATGACCTAGCATCGTTTATCCATTCATGAGTGAACCTACATTCAATTAGCAGATGTATGAGATTTATTGTATTATTACCAACGCTCCTTCTCTACCCTTTCCTTTTCTTCTCTGCAAGTCAGTCTTTTCTATTTGTATTTGTTTGTATTGTTGTTGTATCTAAGTTGAGGGCTGCGGGCACGTCAAGCTATTTTGCTTATTTTTGTAGCCCTCCTGCATCTAATGTATGTCAATTATGCATTCAATATATTTGTTTAAATTCGTTTATTATCTGTATACAATTATATACACTTAAAATATTGTATCAAACCATATTATGTTCATGAAAATGTATGATGAAAAATGAAAAAAGATGCAGAAACCAAAAAACCAAATCAAATCAAATCAAATCAAAATCAAACTCTGGGTATTTAAACCTTCCGAATTGACTCCGATGCGATTGAGGTTTTAAATAGTTAGGAGGTTTTGTAAGCTTCCTTATGAAAGATAAAACGAAATCAGTTCCGAATCATAGTGATACAACAACAACAACAAAAATTAATCATTTTTTGTTAAATGTTTCTAATTGCTCTATGTGTAAATACCACTAATTACATGAAGTGTTAAATTAAACAAGGGCGTCACCTTTTGGTTTACACTTTGCATGTCATTTATTTCTCACTCTCTTTCTTTCTCTCTCTCTCTCTCTCTCTCTCTCTCTCATTTTTCTTCAAGAGCAATACCTTCGCGGAAGTCAAGGATATATCAGGAGGTAAAGAAAATGTTTAGTATTCCCCTCATCGCATTTCTTCAGTTAACATACCGATTCCAGCTAATGAATTCACAGACGAGCATTCCCTTAAATAATATATACTGAAACAGTATCACATATTTGTGTAATTATTTACTTTGCAATGTCATAATATCATGTCAGATTTATGGATGAGAATAAAATTCAATGAAAATTTGCAGAGAAACGGAAAAAATATCAACAGAGTCTTTGTCTGCATTATACATTTCTATAATATTGCATCCAATGCGTTATATCGACTGCGTTATTATGAGATATCATACAAAACGTGAATACTTCAATTACCGTTCAAACGCATGCGCTAATTGCCTTCACAAGATTGATTAGCCCAGGTTAATGACGAAATCGTGGTAGGCCGCTGGTAGGCCACTGCATATGCGATGCAATTGTCCAATTTGTAAACACGTGGCGTGGCTTTCAAATTATCTAGCAACATGCTTACAAACTATAGTAACAGTCGTGGTAAACTCAATTACCAAAATATAGTTTGAAATAATATTTGGTTCATACTGGTAAGTTCATCAGTGGCCTAGATTTTGAGGGGACATCTGCATCACGAAGGGGGGGGGGGGGGGTGTGACCGATATTATAAGATGGATTGCATGCAAATATAAAGGTTATTGATATTAAAAGGAGTAGATTCGGATGTTTTTCTATATAAAATTCAAATGCACACATCTACTTATAAACAAATATACACATACAGATTAAAACAGACGACAGGATAGCTTAACTCAATAGCATCAGTATAATGTTTATGTTTTACCAAGAGGGCAAGAACAAAAAAAAAGACTTAAATGTGAATATAATAGAAAATATCACATTTATACATGAAAGCAATATCAAATCCACCTTTTTCTACCAGATTTATATAACGAATCGGTCCCAAGCCCCTTCTTTACAGGTTCCCCTTTTCCCCTTTCCCTTTATTTCTTTTTCTCTTTCCCCCCGTTTATGAATTACCAGATTATTGACGATGAAGCGGTATGGATTAAGTTGCCATTAACTTTTGCGAACTGCATTGTTCATAGTTTGCAAATGGAAAAAATAAGGATGAGTTCTGGTAAAACTGAATAATGACAATCTGTAAGCCTTCTATTTCTTTTATTCGTGTAATATAGAAGAAAAACATAACTGCAATATCATATGAAAGGAAGAGTGCTCTTCAATTCCCCTACATTTCCAATATGAGCGGAGATATTCGGACATCGCTTTGATACCAAATGTGTGAGTGTAGTTCCATATACTCTTGTCTCTGTGCAGTGCTTTCATCAAGACTAATTTTTGCATCGTTCTTATAAAATTGTACAGCTCTCATAATAGAAATATATTCTTATTTTAATACAACATAACCAACATTAAACAATAGCTTCTAGATATTCTTCTTTTTCAAAGATTCGATCGCATTAACCAGAACTATATCAAACTCTTTCAAACCTTCCAAATGGCACACACGTCAATTGGCATTTAACTGCGAATATTTAAAAAAAAAAAAGAAGCTTTGCATAACAATTCATTTTCTGTTATTAATTGGCGACAAGACAAACCCTTCCGCAACATTTCTGGTAAATTCCTGCAGCAAACTTAGGAATAAGCTAGAATCCGTTTGTCGAAAGGGTAATCCGACATTTGCTCCTGGTTATGTGTTCGTCAAAATTATATAGCGTTAGGAAGTAGGGTTTCTATTTGGCTTTAGGTAAGTTTTAGGGTTAGGGTTAGGTTTAGTGTTCGGTCCAGGGCTGAATATAAGAACTTGGTTAGTGTAGGAAATTGCGGCGGGCCAATTATCACAGGAGCAAGCGTCGTCCAACAGTGCCCATGAAAAATAAACCGGTTTACTAAACATATTCACATTTGGATGTTTCTTTCCTGGCTTTTCTGAGTTATTCCATTAACCTGTTATAAATGAATGATACTTGGAATCCAGTCTGCATACCTTACTTGTTGCTATTTCGGACAAGCCTCGGGCAAAGCTTTCAGGTTGTCAAGATAAATCGCTGTTCACAAGACAAGGTATGCATGAAAATTGAATATGTTTGTAAACCGGCCTATTTAGTGTGGCAAAGGCATAGCTGAGTGGCATAAAAAGATATTAACGATATTACGGACTCTGTCAACGTGAGCGCCCCTCAAGGGGCACTAGGGCTTTCTACATAGGACGACTGCTCGTCCGAATATTCCGTGTCGTTGGTGGTCGTTGACTCCGTACTCCATGACGACGTCGACGTGTAAAACGAGCACGGTTTGCATTCGCATTCCTCCACCACTTCGACATGCTTGTGAAGTACAGTGTCACCATCTACAGCATTGCAAGAAAGTGGAATCTATGTGAAGAAAAAAAAACATAAAATGAATAAATATCGAACACATAGAATTGATTATCTCACAACGATATTTTCTGTCTTGTTTTAGAAATAAATATGAGGCTAGACATTGGCTCGGTAATCATCTAATACCCAGGGCACAAGAGACATCATTTTTTTTGCGTTATACCATGTGCTATTAATCAAGTAAAGGCAATTCCTATACCGCGTACGCCTGAAATTTAACGGCGTTGTTCACATTGGACTCGTTAGGACGATGTTAAACTCGCCGTGCTCGCATGGTGCGTCAGAGACAGCACCAGCCGCTGACGTAGTCTTGCGTCAGTCGAATAACACCTCGTGTGCAATGGGCATGAATAAAGATTGATTAACTTGACGTTGACCCAACTATTTTGATTAATTAGCCTTTTAAACGAATCTTATGCAAAATGGATACGACGTGAATTCAACTATTTGTGTAATTGGAAGGGTCACATGACATTAAAGAGAATGGAAATTCACTTATTTTATTTCAGTACTGTGTAATCTTCACTTGCTTTAATGCCAAAAGCATTTTCCTCATGTTTATCTAACAATATTGAAAAGACTTTGTCAAAATCAAAATAATGCCTTGTTCACCACATATTAAAATTTGAAGGAAAAAAAAAGTACATGACCCATGACATAACCCGAAGATGATTTCTACCGCATATAAAATATGGTATACAAAAATGCCGTTGGGTTCATTTCTTGAAAGTCTTGGGTATCGTGTTTTACGAATACTTACTGTCACCCATGTTACTCTGGAAGGCTGGCAGCAGTCACATGATTTAAATTGGGATCGGATATCGTGTGGAAAAATCTTAGGAACGGTGAAACTGTAACACTGCCCAGCACACATCTGTCAAAAGAAAAAAAAAAAGATAAATAACATGCCGATGAAATAATAATAAGAAAATGTTAAACAAAAACAGCATTGAAATGTAAAAAAAATAACTTAAGAGATAAATGCAGATGACTCATTGTGCTCAAGATTAAAGTTAGTCGCAAGGACGCATAAACCGACTAGCCAAGAGTTATGATTAATACTCTTTTAACCAGCGTGTACCGTTTCAGGGGGAATCCATTATAGGATCATTCAAAGAGGGTGGCACAATCTGAAGAATTTCTTAATCAATAAAGTAAAGAAGGAGTTGTAAGATACGCTTTCCTTTCCAATCGGACTGGCTTCTGAAAAAATACGATAATTTAAAGTCTTTTTTTTCTCAAGAAATTTACCTTATTCGGAATCGTTCTCGCCGTACATCCGGGGCTTTCTATCACCTGACTAATGGGGCGAGCCACACACCACGTGGTGTCGTGTGGAAAGAGAACTGTCCTATCAATAAGGTGTGCGCCGTAATGTGTATCCGACGAATCAGATTGCGGGGACATTGTCACGTGGTCTTGATCGTGTCTCTTTTGTGTATCTGTAGGGAGGTCATTGCTGCCTTGTGAGGACACCCTATGATGAAACACACGCGATGCGACGTCCGCATGTGGGACGGATGACGTCATTAAGGCACACGCCAAAAGGGAGCTTATCCAAAGGACTGCGGCGATCATATTGTGATAATGTTGTCTTTCTATCGATTAGTTTTCTGTCAGGTGCGAAAGGAAAAACAAATGTATTTTTTGTTAATCTGATCACTTCGGCAAGATTCTGGGCAAAGGCATGGGAAAATCAAGTTTTAGGGGATAAAAAGGAAAATTAATGGGATAAAAATATATAAAGCAGTTAATAAATAGTGAGGCAATGACTTCTCAACCTGATTACAAATTTGGCAATGTGTGTAGTGATTTTTTTTTAAAAAGTTCCTTAGTTTGTCATACTGTTTAAACAATTCATAACTTCCGATTTCACTAATTTGTTGTGCTCTGTTTCTGTTTATTTTCGGCATCTATTAAAAGCAAAATATGTTTGGAGTGGACTTAGCCTTTAACACACAACAAAGGTTTTGGTCATCCGCCTTGTTAGATTCAATCCTATGACACTTGGTTCGACTGCGCTTTGCCGGCTGAGCCGACTCTCTTTCTCATTATGAAAGCGTTACCATTATGAATAAAGATCAGAGGGGAAATCTTCAGAATTTTAACAAAATTTGTATGAATTTTATCTATATCGTATGGGGTTGTTGTCTTCGTTAAGAGTCAAATTGTACGTGTCACTTTAACCCACTTGATTGTTATTTTAAATAGGTTATTCTAATTTGACATAAATAGTTCTTACGACAAATAGAAGCTGCAAATGTATCGTCAAATTGGATAACGCCCTTGTTATGACATTCAGGATGAGATGGTTAAAGATTTCTGACGTTGTCATATTTTCGAACTTTTCCAAAATAGTAACATATTAGCGATCAATTTCACACTCGTCATGTCTGCCATGTTAACACCAATGCATTAAGTACTTCAATCTTGAACATATAAAGTATTTTCAGAACGCTTCAATACCTCTCAGTCTATCAAAAAGAGCTATCAAATATGACAAGGAGGTTATTTAGAGCTAAGAGCCGTTAAAATTCCATCCCTCAATTGCTACTTAGACTGGCTGGTATGCACACCCACTCGCACGCGCAATCCACTCACACATTTAACCCACGCACCTATTAAATTCACTACTTGACAAGTTATCTGACATAGTTTCCAGACAGTCATTATCTCGAAGTCGCTCGCTAAACTCTGGGAAAGTGGCGTCCGCCAGCTAATAAACAGCAAGTGAGTCACAGAATATCAGTGAAAAATATGTATAATATTCTTCCTTATACTTCCTTATATTGATTATAAATAAAAGTTAATTAATTTCGTTGCATGTATGACAATCGTTAAGGGATTCAAAGACTATAAGTGGAAAATTAATTATAATGTTTTTCCTGAAGGCGAAATTTGACGTTTACTAAGTCCGTTCAGGGGCGTACGCAGGGGGGGGGGTTTGGGGGTTCAAACCCCCCCTTTGGTATTTTTATGTATGTAAACCCCCCTAAAAAAACCTAACCCCCCCCCCCCCCCCCGATTTTCAAATTTTCGGGAGCAAAATATTTTAAACCCCCCCCCCCTTGAAAAAATCCTGCGTACGCCCCTGAGTCCGTTGCATGTATGACATTCACCTAGTGATGTATAAAATATTAACGAAAATTGATGATAATATATTCTTCCTTTAGAACTAAATATGAAGGCAATTATATCAATTCCCGGAACGCTGTATGTTTGGCAATAACCTAATGTGCCTGCCTTGATGTATTAACTTGGATGAACATAAAAAAGACGCACACTTTCTCTTAATTTGTATGGGCTTCTATAGTCTATGCTTCTTGTAAACGTTCATTCTTGCCAAAAGCCGTCAGAACTGTAAATGACAAAGTCAAAACGTTCGAACAAAATGAATAACCGCATTTACATTGGGTATCAATCTTCTAATAAAAACACACTTCAGTGTTCAACAATTACTTTCAATGATCGTTCAATTAACTTCTTGTTGTAAACAAAATACTAGAGTGAACAATGTATAAACTTTAAAATATGCATCTCTACCTGAAGTATTCATTGTTTCTTAGGTATAACCTTCATTCACATTGTGTACCAATATTATTGTTATTAAGTGACTTCACCAGAATACTTATTATATACTTAGAATAACAATTTTGTGCTTTACATTATTAGGGTTAATTTAACACAACCAAAATATTAACTATTCATCATAATGGTATAAACTTATTTCAGTGGGGGCACTTATGAATGATTATACCACTGTGCCTGCTGAGTGCTTACATCAAAGACAGACCGATTTACTTGGTACAGTTTATAATAATACTAATAATAATAATAGCCTAATAGTCCACTCCAAATTTTATTAAACCGAATCGGAAATTCTTTTTGCCCAATTGATCGTGAGCCCGGCAGCCACTGAGCAGCGCCAGATCGACGTTACTCTATCCCCTTATTGTTGAATGCCAAAACAAGGTAGCAACAACTCCCATCTTTTAACGTCTTTTGGTATGACGCGGCCGGGATTCGAACCCATGACCTCCCAGTTGTGAGGCGGACTCCCTACTGACTGAGCCAACACTCCGGTACAGCCCTTTTGAAAAAAATCTCAAGGGTTGATGGCTTCCTTGGCGAGCTATGTTCGTAAATCATCAAACATTTATTTGCACCACTTATTTCCCTTTGATTAAAGTGCTAGCACCCCCAAACTAACGAGTGCCGACTGTATACGTTTAATGATATAAATAATATTATTAGACTATTAATGCTGATATTCTTCCTTGTATAAACCGATATATAAAGTTCATGAAATCCGTTGTATATAAGGCAATCCCTAAGTGATTTGGAGAATATTAGTGGACTAATGATATTCTTCCTCGAAAACGGAATATGAAGTTTACTAATTCGGTTGTATATATGACAGTCACCTAGTGATTTAAAGGATATAAGTGGACAATTTATGATGATATTCTTCCTTGAAAATGAAATATAAAGTTTACTAATTCCGTTGTATATATGGCAATCTCCTAGTGATTTAAAGAATAATAGTGGACAATTAATGATGATATTCTTCCCTGAAAACTAGATATGAAGGTTAGTTTTTGAATTCCGGTGTATAGTGATTTAAAAAAAATATCAGTGGACAATTAAATATGATTTTCTTCCTCGAAAAATGAAATATGAAGCTGACTCATTTCGTTGTATACATATGACAATCACATTATGATTTAAAGAATATTTGTTGAAATTAATGATTTTCTTTTAAGGACATTCGTAAGTGTTGGTCTCTAAATAACTCTATCATTACGAATTTCGGAGTGACCAGAACAAAAGTATGTCCTTGTTGTAATGCTAATCGAGAATGACGTCAATTTTCACTACTGGTGATAGAGTTAATTTAGAAAGTGTTAAAACATACCTATATATTTAGAACCAAGGCGACTTAATGAGAATAACCTGCATTAGTTCAAGCTTTTAGAAGCAGGTTGTAGTGTCAGTTGAGTTCAAAGGGGTCAACATGATTTCCTTAATTTCTTCTTTTTTTACAAAAGTGAGTGTTCAACAGAAGGTCTAAAAGTTTCGCTCCGGAATGCTTTAAAAAAACAAAAAGATGCTGATCTAGAAATGACGGCAATATTCATTACTTGTGATAGAATTAATCTAGTTTATAATTATAAAGTGTTAAACCATACCTATATTTAGAACCAAGGCAACTTAATGAGAATAAAGTGTATTAGTTTTAGCTTTTTAGAAGCAGGTTGTAGTGTCGGTTGAGTTCAAAGGGGTCAAAAATATTTCCCAATTTCCTCTCAGTTTTTTTACACACAAGTGAGTGTACAACAAAAGGTCTAAATGTTTCGTTCCGGAATGCGTTAAGAAAAAAAAAGAAAAACTATTCGTAAATCACATGCTTAGTCGTTATCATATTTGTCTGGATTGATTAGTAAATCGCTAAATTCTTGATAAATTAGGATCATCAATATCGTACGGGTCTATTCCTTGGCAAGTTTCGTAATAATTAAGAAATTCGAATCCATTTGTTTAAATATATTGAAAGGAGGAAATAGATTTGTCTTAGCAAACAGTCAAAACCTATGTTGTCCTAATACCTTTTATGCTAGTCATCGACTATAAACTAGTTGTCTTCATACCAACAAGAATGCAATGAAATAATTTCAGTTTCGAGGATTATATAATTTTTCCTGATTTTCAAGCTTTATTTCTTTATCGTTTTCTTCATCACTTTGTACCGGCAGCGTTGCTAGATATTTGAATCTTTTACATAGAATTTTACATTGACACAACATACATTATTAACATTTTATCGGTTTAAAAGATTCGTAGTTTTTAACAACTTTTACGGTTCCATAGCGATAGAGACAATGTACTTTTGATTTCATCTCTAATCAGCTTTCTACGTCATGACAACTAAAACCTTTGACGCCCTTATACCTTTTATGCTTACTGACAAACACCGATTTACTTAAATAATTTAATGTTTTAAGGATTATAGAATCTCTTCGTGATTCTTAAAGCTTCATTTCTTTATTATTTCTTCATCATTTTGAACCGGCAGCGTTGCTAAATATTTCAAAATTCTAGATCGAAGTGCGCATCCATACATCATCAAAAAAATTACACATTAACGTTATTGATTTCAAAGATACGTTTGATTTCCCTTTTAGCCTGCTGTCTTCGTCATGACAAATATAAATGACATGTATAGCTTCGTAATTACGAGTTTTTGTCATCCTCACAATAATCACCAACCTCTTTTGACCTCTGGTTGAAGCCGATGATGATGAGGAGATTAGACGTGGAATATCATTTGGAACCCTTTAAAGCTCTAATGATTACTTGGTCGATTAGGGAACTCGGTTAATTCCGTATCAGATTGTCACTTGAAACTAGTTAAGTTAATTTATTCGAGCCTGCAGACAAGATGCATTAAGTCGAACGTCTCATATAAAATATAAAGCAGATATGTTTTATGCCATCAATAATAAACACACTTATCCTGTTTCAAATGACATTCTGGTATGGAGGGAACCCAGTTCCCTGATTGATCCATCATTCAAATTTCGTTAGGAACAGTCTGGTGCCACAAGTA